CCGTTGACCTTGTCTGTGGAGGGAGGAATTACTGCGCTTTCTCTGTAAATTTTTTACTATTAGCACTCTTAGGTGCACCAGAATACCAGGCCCTCCCTTATATGGAGTAATTGAAACTTTTAAATTTCTGCACCATACATACGTACATATATATGCGGAACGAGAAACAAATAAAAAGTTCTACGTAGAAATGCGTGCATATTATTTTTATGTACAGTGCAAGAAATCAAAAACCTCAATCACTTTATATAGAGCAAAAAATGACCAGCGCATTGGAGATCAGCTGTATGCATAAAACAGCTCCAATTAAGTGTAAATTATTCTTGGCATGCCCATCGCTTTATTGAGATTTTCAATGAACTATCAATTTATGCATCATCTTAACATGGGGTTTTTAAATTTCCTGCACCGTACATACTAATTAAGAATTGGCCCAATGATATTTTTGTTATTGCAGGCCAGATGATATGCTAATGCACTCCAGGCAATTTCATTAAAATCCCATAACTAGTTATAACGTATTTTTTTATAAATAATGTTAGTAGCCCTCTTAGTTACGTAAGAAAAGTACGAAATGGCACAAGACTCAACAAATATTAAAGAAACCATTGGAGCTCTTGATGATTATGTTCTTCTAGGACGTAGTGGTTTGAGGATTTCTCCTTTATGCCTTGGCGCATTGGTATAACATTTACTTAATTTCTGATATCTTCATTATGTTCTTTTTAAACTAAAAAAAAATTAATTGTTTCAATTTAAGACTTTTGGCGAAGCATCTGGACCTTTTGCGGTATATTTTCACATAATATGAAAACTATATGCATTTACAAATAGTTTATTTTACAGTACAATATTTTATTTTTATGCACTTGGAATAGAAAGTAGGTTCAAATAATGTGGAGTCTAAGAAGGTTTTCGACTATTATTATGAAAGGGGTGGAAATTTCTTCGGTATGTTTATATATTATATCTATTTAACGATAGTTAATCAATCTTGTAGCAAACTTTAGCCTATAAAAAAAGTTTAGTTGGCTTTTGTTTAATTGTTGTCAATATCAATAAACAAATATTCGGAATTGACTCACCCTAGACAGGACAAAACCCGTATGTTTTAATTTAAAAAATGTGTGGATTTTGTTCTGTTTTGATATCTATAGTGAGTACATTCTGAAAATTGGTGAATGATACTGACAACAATTAAACAAAAACTAAAACTTTTTTATACATAGGATAAAAACGGTTATAAAAAAGGTGTTTTCTTTGCATAATGTTGGATGAGACCACTTAGGGACCAATCAAATTTCATCCACATCATCTACGCGAATTATTCAAAAATAGTGGTGCCAAAAGCTTATATAGTGCCGGAAATCTAGAATCGACAATCACATGGTTAAAAATAATATTTTTGAGATGCTATTTTTATTTTGTATAGAAATAATTTCGAAAAACAAACCGATAAATGTATTGAATTACAAAGCTATCGATTTATTTTTCGAAATTATTTCTGTACGAAATAAAATAGCATTTCAAAAAATATTATTTTTAATCACATGACTAGAGATGTGCCATTTATATGATACTCCAATTTTTCGCGTACAGTACGTATAGTGCGTATCTAGCGATTTGATTGGCTGGTAGAAAGGATCGGCAAAATTTTTCGCGTATAGTACGTGTACGCGACACGTCTCTACACGTGACGGTCGATTCTAGATTTCCAGCACCATACTCGTATTATACTACTTGTATTATACAAGTATTATACGAGTATTATACACAGAGGTTTAGCCAATTAAATTGCTTTATCTGCAATTCCGAAGTTTCCCTTAGAAAAATTCCGAAAAATTCCGAACAATATATAATGGTAGCTATACCGTATTATACCTAGTGATTGGCCGCTGTGCAGGCGGAATATTTCTGAAGGTTGGAATATGCCGGAAACTGTAGAAATTTAGCAATTTTGGCCCGCATTAGCCATAATGCAGGCCCGTGCAGGCTGCGCAGCCTGCGCAGTATTTTCAAAAAATCTTCGATTTGCCCATCACTAATTCTACCTGGTATTATACTACCATTTTCTATTATACCGGTATAATCGCATCCCTACTCGAGAGATTCAATTTTCTCGTGATCATAGTTGACCAATAAAATTAACATACTGCACATACTGCGCCAGAAACACGGCATTTTTTAAACCGCTTAAACTTTTTGCAGACATATTTTTTAAATAATAATGGCCAATAACTTTCTACATAAAACAAAGCTTTTCAAAGCCATTGGTCAGTTTTTAAAAAATTTTATATAAAGGGTTATACCGTTTGCTATAGAAATTTTTGTTTAAAAAAAACTGACTGATAAATTTGTAGTGCTTACCTCTCTGTATAAATTTACCAGTCAGTATTTTATAATATTTGTCTGTAGAACTTTTCCATTTTAAAAAATTTTGCTGTTCTTTGGCGTAGTATGTGCAATTTGTAGAAGTACCTCAATTTTATTGGCCAACCACAATCATAAGAAGTTGAAACATCTCCCGTGATTGTCAAGTATAGGCTTTTGGTACCATAATTCAATATTAGTGAAGTTCTACTAAAGCTATACAATTTACAATTTAATTACTTGGTTTTCATAACATGAAACTTTTAAATAAACCGGTTGGCCGGCTTTTTTTTTGAATTCATGTATAAAATTTTATAAAAAAAAAATTTTAAACCCACCCAGTTATTACAACTGTTTTCATAAACCGAAAAACTACGGGAACAACATTCACCTTAATTTATGGGCACAACATTGGCCAGATTTAGGGTTAGAGTTAATGTTAAGGTAAGTGTATTTTAGTAATGCCGGTTATTGTGCCCATAAGCACATGATGTTGTGCCCGTAGCAATTGCCTTTCATAAATTCTGGAAAATCTGACAAAAATTGACCGACCGAATATCTGCCGATTCGATAAGTTTTGATCCGGCAGTGATAAATCTTTGATTCGGATGTGATCGCTGCCGAATCAAAACTATCGAATCGGCAAATATTCGGTTTGTCGGATTTTCAGAATTTATGAACACAACTGTAAAACATATAAAAATTTTTTTCAGAAGTTTTCAAATTTTGACCCATCTGGGTTATGAAAACCAATTAATTAATTTTGCATGGCCTAATTATAGTTAATGGAAAATTTTTGTGGCTTTTTATTGACTAAATATTAGTAAAAGCTATATTATACAAATCTCATCAAAGTCGACTTACAGGACCGATTAACATTAACACCCTAGCTTTAGAGTACTAATGCACTATATAACGATATTAAACTAACAAGGCGTTTGCTGTTTTTAGATACTGCTAATGTATACAATTTTGGTGCGGTAATGTCAGTTATTGATTATGCATACATTCTCTAGTGTACACTGTATACTAACTTTTCATTTTTTTTTTATTGTAACGAAAAGAGTGAACGCTTTCTTGGAGAATATGTCGCTGATAAACGTTCTCACGTTGTAATTGCTACAAAGTATACTTGTATGTTAATTTGATAATTGCTTTCACCGTTAACATTCTTTTTTATAGTTATATATTTACCTTTATTCGTAAACTTATAAAGTGAATTCTACCAGTTACGTGCCAGATGTCAGATTTAACCCAAATGCTGGTAATCTTATTATTAATTTCATGAAATTGTATATATTGATATAATTTCTGAAAAAAGGCACTACTTAA